AGAGAGAGAGAGAGAGAGAGAGAGAGAGAGAGAGAGAGAGAGAGAGAGAGAGAGAGAGAGGGATGTAGGCCGTAGATGGAGAAAGTAATTGCAGGGCTCCATCCCTCGACGTTCGCAGGTGTCATACATGTTTTTGCAGATGAGTCCCTAGCTATCGGGGTATTTACGTAACGGATCTGTCCCTCCGGTCTCTTCTGGACAGCCATACGATATCTTTACCTTATTTTGCTTCCGATGCCTCGGTTCGAGCCTGGGTTGAGCTTCCAACCGCCGGTCCGTGGCCAGTCTACATTTTCTTGTACAAAATGCAAATCTTGTCTTGACCTCGATTTTTTTATTATTTTTTTTTATTTTTATTTTTCTTTCTTGCGCAGGGGCCATGCTCATCTTCATTCTCTGTATCGTTCCAATTTTAACGGATGTCCCGAAGGGCGATCTTTAACTTTCTGGTGTCGTTCACCACTTACAACTCGTCGTATACTTCATTTTTCGGCGGTGCGGTGAGAATCAGCGGGAAGGCGCGGGAATGGGCGGGAAGCGGTGTCCCGTGTCCGTCCGCCGTTATTTGTTAGTACCTTCAGGTTTGCTGGGGTTGAATGGTACGTTTATGCTTCGTTATTTTCTCTTTTTCTTTCTTTTTCTTTTCTTTTTTTTTCTAATTTCTGTTTTCTGGGCTAAGCAGACCAAGGAGTTCAAACCCCGGGGGCCAAGTCCCACTTACCCGCAATCTCAACTTCTGACCGTAGATTCGGAAGAACAGCGGCCAGAAATGAAGAATCAGCGTAAGTGGGACTTGGCCCCGGATGTATACCACAAGAGGTGTTTGTGAGTGTTCGAGTGAGTGCCATCCCGTCTCTCTCTCGAGCGCTTCACCCGTCCAAACGATATTATCGTCATGACGGCCCCAAACATAGAGCACCGTCTTTATGACCGTATAGCTTCACAAACATAGCTTGTATTCATGCCCGTCTAGCGTCACATAGCTTGTACTCATGACCGTATAGCGTCACAAACATAGCTTGTATTCATGATCCTCTGGGACTGGAAACGCAGCTCGTATACTTTCATCATCAGGGTCTTCAGTTTGTGTCCCGATGAAGATCGCAGTGAACACACACGTCCTCTCCGCGTGCGCACGTGTGTGTGTGTGTGTGTGTGTGTGTGTGTGTGTGTGTGTGTGTGTGTGTGTGT